CAACAACCGCCTTGCAGTCATAAGGTTGGCACGTCGGTTTGATTCTGAATCCACCCCCAAGGGGTTGGATTTGCTACGCCCAGTGGACCCTCTACTCGTTCCAATCCATGTTGAGCACTGGATGCCCATCCAGTGCACAAATCCATCAGCATCGCCTTTGAGAACTGCCACAAGAGCAGCCCTTAGCTAACAACAGAACCCCACTGCTAGATTCTTAGATCACTAGTTGTGGGATGGTAGACCACCAAATCTGAAGAATCACCTGACAATTGAAAAGATAGAAGAGCACGGTTGTTTCATCAAAGGCTCCCCATTCCAGAGTTGGAGTTTATGTCCAGCGTTTCTGAATATTTGAGATCCAAAGCAACTGCCATCCGCTGGGGGGAAGGTTGACTGCACAGATCGGGTGGCTTCAGCATTCCCAGCAAACGATTCTATGAAGAACAGCTCCTGGAGCATTATGGGTCCCCCAAAATCTTGTTGTTATGAAGCCAAACTTACATTCAACCTCTCATTTAATCATTTAATCAACTTGCAAAAAGCTCCTGGCTATGATCAATCGATGTGTTCCATAAGAGCAGCAGGCAGGCGAATGCCAGCACCTTGGATCCGGTCCTATAGAAAAAGCAACGTTCCTCCACAAGACTTTGCAATCCCAAGACCAACCAAGGCACTTTGGGGGCCTTTAGTTTATAGAGTCGTTGAACCACTTGGCCAGCAGTCCACGCCATTGCCACGTGAAATCACGTGAAACAAAAAAGCTGGAAAGACAGCATTGGAGTTGCACCTTTTTGTTTTATTACTGTGTGTGTGTATTCAGTAAATGTCCATGACTTGTCATGCCTTCCATTGTTCAGACCTTCCCAGCTGCAAAAGCAAAGGTTGGAAAGTGCAGTGTGATGCAGTGTGTAATATGAAGCACGTGACTGCCGTTGCTTCCATGACTTGGTAGCGGAGCCCGAAATCATGCCAGATTGACTTGAACGGGGCTGATCAAGCAACCCCATTTTGGCCTCGCGCTTCTTCCCACGCAAAGCCTTCATCACGCTCATGGCTCCGCAGGCCTCCAAGGCCATGAGCAAGAGGAATGTGTGTAAAATCTTCAAGCGTGCAAGAATTACCCAGTTCAGGAGTCCTCGAGATGCAATGCACGAGGGGTGTCTTTTTCCAAGGAGGCGCGCTGCCCCATGAACTAGGAACTCCATCCAAGTCACCTCTCGCCAGCATTCGCCAGCCACTCGTCCACCAAGGCTGGTTTCCAACAGGGTTTGTTCAACAAAGTTCACACATTCCAGACGAGTACGGCTGTCTAAGAGCTGGCCACCTAACAGCTTGATCAAACATGGTGTCTGAAGAGGCAGGATTTGGGTGGTATGGGCCTTGACGTTCTTGACTCCCAGACGCAAGCTACCCTCAGGGCCTTCACACTCCCCACTGCCAGCAGACAACAATCGCAAAATTCTACTCAATCTGCCCCCTCAGAAGATGGCTTGTCGCCACCAGAGGCTTCCTTCATCTCAGCATTCTGCACGGTCTCAGAAGGAGCCAGAGGATCAGGTTTTGCCCTCCGTCCAGGCTTCTCCTTGGGCGGTGTCTCCACTTTCCTGAGTTGTTGCGGCAAGAACCGGAATCGATGTGAACTTGTGTTGTTCATTGGAACTTAGTTGAACACATGCCCAAAAATCTTGGGTTCTCACTTCCATTCAGCAAAGAACTTCTCTCTGTGGCGGCCACAATGTAGGAGAAATCGGAAGGGTCCCTGGACTTGCTGGCTTTCTTCTCCGCCGTGACCATGCCGCAGAACAGGATCTTCAGGGCACACAGATTTTGGTTTTCATCAAACTGTGTGAAACCACTGAAGTTGATACACTAAAAAAATCATACAGTACAGGGATCAGACAAACAAAAACTGTGGTGCCTGGGCTTTGTTCTTGGCACCCTTTGGCAAGCTTGGCTGAATGCTCTCCTCGAAGGCCATCGTGGTCCTGGCATATTTCTCGAATGCCCATCCCCCCTCTGGGCGGGCTCGGCCCCCAAAGGTGTTGGGAATCTTTCCCTCATCATCGGCTTTCTTGACATCTGCGGGAAGCCCATCAGTCTTGTCCTTCTCCTTCTCAGCAATTCGAGCTGTCTTGGCCTTTGGAGGCCGTGGCTCTGGGGCATTCACATCCTCATTGTTTGCTGCCGCTTTGGTCTTCCTCGGCCTCCATGGTTGCTTGGCCTTGTCAGCACCATCAGGCTGCAGTGCATCAGCCTCCGGCTGCACCTCGCCTTCGGGCAGCGGGGAACTGGCCTTGGCTTTGGCCTTTGCCTTGCTTTTTGCCTTGGCCTTGGGTTTCCCCTTGGCCTTGGGTTTGCCCTTGGCCTTGGGTCTCCCCTTGGCCTTGGCTTTGGCCTTCCCCTTGGCCTTGCCCTCCGCCCTATTGGCAGCATTGGCCTTCGCCTTTGCTTTGGCCGCGGCTGCCAGTTTGAGCTGGTCTTCTTTGGTAGCCGGAGGCTCCTGTGCATGGCGAAGGTGCACATTAGCACCAAGAAGATAATTGTAAAGAACATGAAAACACACCGTCACAACTGACACTTTAAAGATATCACTCCCAAACCAGTTTTGAAACATCAAGGTCCTTGACGGGGGAGATCAGCTCAGAAGCGGCACCAACTTTGGAGGCTTGCTCGGCCGGAGGTTCGCCGCCACCGCCATCATTCTTGGGCAGGTCCTCTCCGACAGGTTCAACAGGTGGATCCTCACACTTGCGGTGGATAGGTTCCAAAGCATCCATGGTCGGCTCAGCAGCCTGCTCGGGCTCTGAGGAAGCAGCTTTGAAAGCAGAGTCCAAGTTGACGGGCGCAATCTCCTGCTCATCATTGTTGTCCATGTTGACATCCCGCTGTGAAGGCTCAACATCTTGAGACCTGGCCGGCGGAGCGCTAGTGCGATGCAACTTGGGAACCTCTTCTGAGACATCAAGAGGCAAGGTCTCATCGAGAAAAATGTTGAACGCTGCTTGCGTGTCTGCCACATCACATTGAAGCAGTGTTTCACCGATGTCAACGCTTGAGCCAGTGCGCTCAAACCTGGGCTCAGAAGTGGCTGCCACATCGCAAGAGGAAGCTCCACAGTTTGAGGGGCCAACCACGTCACATCCTGAAGGCTTTGCAGCAGAAGCAGCCTCGAGCTCTTTGATGCGACCTTTCATTGTCTCAAGAAGCTTCTGGAGCCGATCGTACTTCTCAAAGGCTGTCCCAGACACCGCCGCCGCAGCGAAGTCATGGGAGGCAGACTTGCTCTCGCTTGGGCTGTCCTCAATGTTGATGGTCGGAGGCCTGGAATTGTCCCAATCAGACAGAAGATGAGGGTCCTTTGGCGCTGCAGCCTTTGCCAACACCATGTCCAAAGATTCACGGTCACCACACCCAGGAAAAGGACCTTGCGCTTCAGCAATCTCTTCAGTACCTTCAGTCGCGACGGCCTCACTTTCTTTGGGCTCATGGTCCACATCCATGGGCGTGGGGAAGTCTTCAGTAAACAAACTGTCAAGATAGCTGGCAGAAAGCAAATCAACGTCGGCTGGGCCAACAGCGTCTTGGTCACTGGCCCTGTTTTGACCAGCATTCTCAACCTGCGCCCCCTCCGACTCCTCCAGCTCTTCATACCCATCAAAGTTGACGGGGGTCTGTGTTTCACCTTCCTCAAGTTGTTGTTGTTGTACACCAGCATCCTGGAAAGGGTGAAAATCAAATCAAGAACTTTGACCATGTGCTTCCAATGACCTTCAGGTCAGAATGCTTAGAAAAGTTAA